ACAATAATTTCCCATATGGGAATATGCAGCTGTTTAAGGTATTTTAAATAACTACCCTTTTCTTTAGGCTCTATCTGCTGACTAGAGCACACTACGATAAGTATGTAGACAGCTTTGATGTAGGTTATAATGAAGTGTGTGTGGTTCTTTTCCTTAGTAATCTTAGTAATTCTAATTAGTGTCTGTTTTATGTCCTGGAAATAGTCTATGATATTGTCAATATCATGATAATGAGTAAAAATACAATATATTGGCGAGTATATTTTCTGTTACTCCCCCATCCAAAATTCCTATCCTGTATAGTGCTCTACTTTCTTTTTAGTAGATATGTGATTGTTAATGTTATATTTTTTACAGTGACACGACTTTGATGACATAGCAGTTTAGCTTTTACTTTTGAGAACCACAGTGTGAACCTGAAATTTTAATGTCTTGAAAAAAATTGTTGCTGTCAAAAACAGTCATTAATTACAATTGTGACCTAGTGTTCAAAAAATGTGACATATAGTGTCGTGGAAAATTTAGAGTCATGAAAAGAGCCATTTTTTAAATCCAGCAGTCTATTTTCCTTTTACCTCATACACTGTTAACGGCAAATATTTTGGATTTGCTGCAGAGGCCAGGGTAAAGGAGATATTTGAAGGAAATTTTGCTTTTTAAGGGTGGTAGTGTTAACACACATCAACAACTTCAAAAATTCAATCCACTCAAACATGGCACCAAAACAGCTCTCACTAAGTCCCCGTAATTTGTTAACATAAAAGAATATTTTACAGGTTACATCATTCAGCACTTGATAAATCATTCCTTTAAATAAACCCCTTTCTCCTTACAGTTGCCTCAAAAGACTTTTAAAAGCTTGAATCTACTTTCATCTTCCTAACTTTCCTCCTTCCCAAGGTAATTCAAACTACTTTAGGAGAAAATCTGTACTGGGAAATTGTCTGAAATGTCATCCTTACTAACTAGAAAGCTTTTTTACTTTCCAGAGCTTTAAACCTATTCTGATAACAAAGCTGTAAAATGGGGTTCAAGGTCTGGTTCATTCAGTTCTTTTTTTTTTTTAACATCTTCATTGGAGTATAATTTATTCAGTTCTTGTAGGGGATTTCCCTGACTTTATCTTCCAGCCATCAATTGAATTTGTTTCCACTATTCCATGTTTAATTTCCAAGAGCATTTTCTTTTTAGGATTGTCCTTTTATATAGCATGCTGGTCTTGTTTCATGTTGCCCTGAGGATATTTTAGTTTCCTTAACATTACTTATATTTTTGGTGTGTTTCTCTTTCCTCTGACTTCTTTTTAGATTGCTTTGCTCTTTCCTGTTGGAGTCTTTCCTCAAATATCTGGTGCCTGGCTGTGCATTTTATATTTAAAATTAGACATTAAAAAGTTGTGAACTTCTGCTTACAAACGTGAGCTGAATTGTCAGTGAATCTCATCATATGTTAAGGAAATGGCTGCCTGTTTTTTAATAAATTTATTTGTTTATTTATTTATTTATTTATGGCTGTGTTGGGTCTTGGTTGCTGTGCGCAGGCTTTCTCTAGTTGTGGTGAGTGGGGACTACTCTTCGTTGCGGTGCACGGGCTTCTCATTGTCGTGGCTTCTCGTTGCAGAGCACGGGCTCTAGGCGTGCAGCCTTCAGTAGTTGTGGCACGTGAGCTCAGTAGTTGTGGCTCGCGGGCTCTAGAGCTCAGGCTCAGTAGCTGTGGCGCACGGGCTTAGTTGCTCCGCGGCATGTGGGATCTTCCCAGGCCAGGGCTCAAACCCGTGTCCCTTGCATTGGCAGGCAGATTCTTAACCACTGTGCCACCAGGGAAGCCCCTGGCTGCCTGTTTTTGTTGGAGATCCGTAAGAGATCCACAGATCTTTTTCTGGGATGTTTGATTCTCCAGAATATAAACTTACAAACTCCTGCCCCTTGAGTGTGGGAGAGCAAGCTGGGAAGAGACTGACAATAAGCCTGGCTGCAGGATTTCTGGAGCTCAGACAAAGCGCCATTCAACAGGCAGAGTTCGGTTCCTCTTTTGTCAGTACCATAACTTGACCCTCTATATTTACATCCTGGACCCTAAAGCCTCTCTTGTTCCCTTTTTTCAAGAAAAGAACCTATCTCCCAACAGGTAAGGATAGTCACCTAATGGATTTCTAACTGAACCTCATACAGATTTTCAAACAGTCCACTGTTCTGTGATACCTAGTGGTTCTTAATTCTTGTGGCTTTTCAGCCTTCTCTGGGGACATCAGTTGTCCATCTTACAAGAATATGATTCTTCCTCTAAGTAATTTACTATGTACTCTTCTATGTGCATTCAGTCTTCATAAATTGTGGTTTGAAATTACAGTTATCTCCTAGTATAATCAAAGATGATGTTTTTGCTTGTTTTCCCCCTCATTGTGAGATATTTTCAAGAGGAAAGGGTGGCAGAGGCATTTTTACTCTGCCACCTTGAAACCAGACGTTTCCTTCCCGTGACCTCACTCCCCTGATTTCCACCTACCCCTCCCCTATCACTACTGAGTTCTACATGCCTCAGCCCTAGGCTGTCATCATCTCACACAGCACTTTATTCAGATGATTTCAGTCAGGATTCTGGCTTTGCCCACCTCTCCACCTTCACGGAGCACCATACACACCCTTGTTTAAGCTTCAGCCTAACTGGTATTATTTTAGGTCTTTGATGCCAGCAAAGTTCTTACACATGCTGGCATTTGCATGGATGAAAAGTCAGTGAACACAGTGAGAGATTCATTACTACAAGGGGACTGCTCAAAATAGATACATTAAGAATGATGGGAGCCAAGTTTCTCACTATGAAAGAAATACAAAGGGGAAATAAAATGAATTCTGTGATCTTGGGTTGAAATTGGAGGTTATCAGTGTGCAGTCATAGTTTTTAATAGACATATAGATATAGGAATATGTATTAATGTAAATGTGTCTGTCTATAGTATGTATTCTCTAGCAATGCCCATGAAAGGATTTGGGAACAAAGATACCACAATAGCAATGAGCAAATTTAGAGCTCAGATCTTGGCTTCTAAGTGCCACCAAAAAAGACCCAGGGCTCCTTGGAGAACAGGCTGATTCCAGGACTGAAGCAGGGAAGGTGTCAGATGACCCTGGAGCATATTTTAGGCCAGGAAGTGAAGTGCTCAAAGAATCATGGGATGTGTCAACTGGAAATGATTTGAGCATCACAATAAATTATAGTAACAAATTATAACCCAATGAATAAAATTGGAAACCATAAGTCATACTGATAGGAATAAATAAATGAGTGAACTAAAAGTTTGGTGAGGAATGAGGTTTTTATATACTTTCACAGTCTCTCCCTACAAAATCCTGATTACTAACAAAGAGGAAAAGAGTAATTTTACAGTGGAGCAGCTTGCCAGACAACACCTGAAGTGATCAAAGTGAACGTGACAATGTGACAGACAGAAATTGTGCACAACTTGACAGGTACATTGTGAAGACCATGGATGCCAAAGATGCATAATCTAAATCTAATTACTAGAAAACAGATTAAGTCTGCATTAAGGAAATTCTACAAAATAACTAGCTGTAATGTTTGTGTCAAGGTCATGAAAGTCAAGGAGAGACTGAGAAAATGTTCCAGAATGAAGCCTGAAGAAATATGAGTAAGGCAACAATGATTCTGAACTGCATCCTTGTCCTTTAAAGGACATTACTCGGACGTTAGGCAAAATATGAATAGAATCTAAGGATTAGATAGTAGTATGCAGCAATATTAATGTCCTGATTTTGGTGATTATATTGTGGTTAAGTAGAATGTCCTTGTCTGTAGGAAATACAATAAATAATTGGGTGTTGGGGCATGAGGTCTGCAGTATAGTCTCAAATGGTTCAGGAAAAAGATCTTTGTACTATATATACATGCAACTCCTCCATAAATTTTTTTCAAAACAAATGAATTAAACTGATTTAAAAAAATAATAAACTAGGTTGCACCAGTTATTCCCAGTGCTCCTGTAGATTCTGCTGTCATCAAAATCCAAACAAAGTATATGAGCAAGAACAATGGCTAGTCATCTTAAACCACCGGGGACGAACCTGTAAGCCAACAAAGTCAGATTTATTGACGCATTGCAACCAAGGAGACTGCACACTAGAGGAACTGTAGGGTGTCTCACCACACAATGGAAAAGGTAGATGTAGGATATGTGGGAAAGGTGGAGTTAAGATAAAATCTAAATGAAACAGTTTTGATAGCCTCAAAGCAAAGCAGAGCGGTGTAAAGAGGCATCAACATCACATCTGGAGTGAGAAGTGGGTGTAGGATCATGTTCCCTTGGAAACCACAAAGTTAAGAGAATAAGTAATATTCTTTTCAGGAACCCCTTGTCTGCAGCTCTGCACCTGATTAGAAATAGAAGCTGCTTCTCTGTGTCAAAGTGTCTTAGATCCTCCAGGCAAAAGTGGAATGTTTCATTCTTACTGATAAAATTTCAAATAGCAACGTTTACATGGACTTTAAAGAACAAGGTTTCTCCGTGTAAGAATGTATCCAAAGACGCGGGTTGTTATGATACTTTTTAGTTGCAGTTTGTCCTTAAAAGAAACTTTCCTGTAAACGTTACAACTGGCTTTATCTTATACTGTTACCCATCCTGATGAATGGCTGGGCACATTTTTACTTTCTCAGCAGTTACAAATGAAAAATACGACTCGGCCTCTCAAACCACAGCTGATCCTCCTCTCAGGGCCTTGCTGAAGTTATGGGTTTGCCCGACCAACTTTCTTTCCTCTCATTTTGGACCTCAAGCCTCCCCTAATGAACGAGATGCTGCACCACGGTCTTCGACGCCTTTCTCCATGTAACCTTTCAATCATCCTGCCTTCCCAGGCCACGCTCAGTGCGTGGGGGGCGGTCCCACTTTTCTCAAATCCTATTGGGTAAAATCCACGCCTCTCTTCGCAGTGGGGACGGGACAAGAGATAAAGGGCCTTTCCCAGGCGCGAGAAGATGACGTCACAGTAGCGGAGCCGCGACCTCCGGCTGATTTGGGCTCTGCTAGCTGAGGGTGTCGACTGAAAACAGTTCCGTCCGCGATGCAGTCGCCATGACCATTTGTCAGTTCTTCCTTCAAGGCCGGTGTCGCTTCGGAAATCGGTGCTGGAACGAACATCCCGGCGCCGGGGGTGCGGGCGAAGGACGGCAGCAGCAGTTCTCAGGTGACGTTCTCCTCCATCCTTCGCCCCTAGCCGAGCTGGGGAAGGCCTGGCGTGGGGCCGAGCCGGCGACGAACGGCCGTCCCTCGTGGGCCCAGCCGTTGGGCACAGCGCCGAGGCGCACCAGTCAGGTGACGCGGACGTGCCCGCGTCGTCCCCTCGCCCGCCCCGCCCACCGGCTTTTTTATTCATTTATTAGGAGCTCGGTTGGCTTTTGTTGAGCGGTTGGAGGCATGGGCTTGGTCCTGTTTACTAATGAAAAACAGGAATACGTGTCAGAACTTAACCTTGTCTTTGGGCGGCAGTGGTTCGCAGAATTGGCATAGGTCGACCCAGACGCCTCCTTTCTTTACTACTTTACTACCTTCCTGCGTACTTGCTTTTTCCCCTTGATGCCTTGAATATAATTTTTTCTAAACGTTTTTTCTAGGGAGAGGCTAGCAACTGGGGTCAAAGTCAGGATTCTTAACTTTGGGAAACTCCTTTGAAGATCTAATAAAAGCTACAGAGCCATTAACCTCAGATAAATGCACATGCTCATAAAATTTGGGGTAAAATCGAGAGTGGGATGCTCAGTTAAGAACTCTGGGCTATGAGGGAAGGGGGTGCAGGACTACGTTGACCTGCTTCCTGGCCTAAGTCATTGTCGAAGCTTTTGGAATATTTCACTAAACCAATTGTGGATGATGCAGAAGGATTGACTGTCTTCAAGGAGAGGAGGGGTCCGAAATGAAACCATAGTACAATGCAAGGTTTTAGAGGTCAGATGAATCGTTAGGTTTCCTTAGGACTGAAACTTAGTCCTTAAAGTTACCACAAGATGCTGACCACCTCTCCCTTCTCTTTCCTCCTTTAGGGCTATTCATCTGACCCTTAAACCTTGTGTTACATTGTGGTTTCACGTCTGATTCCTCTTCTTGGGGGCAGTCTTTTTGCATCACCCACAAATTGGTCTAGTGAAATATTCCAAACCAAAAATTAAGACTCAGGATCTGATAAATGTGCGAGTATTTCCAGGAACAACAAAACGTAATATGACATTCTGTTGAGACTCACTCTAAATGCAGTAATTAGAGAATAAATGTTGAATGGATAAATGTTAATGGATTTTAAAAGTGGAGATAAAACTAATCAAGTAAACAGTGTATTTAATGCCCAGAAACAAATAAATGCTTATGGAATTAGTAAGTATGAAGACCAAAAGCTGTATACAAAAGATGGAATGAATTTCTTCAGTTGTGTCATCCCCGCAAAGGATTTGAAACTCTAGGAAAATAAAATATCATTAACCCATACTTGAGGGATCTGGTCTAGCAATCTGCCCCCTTTCCTCTTAGGTTTCGTTAAGCAGTTTTAGAATTGGGAGGTGAATTTTCATAAAGGAGTGTATCTCCCATCACTCGAGTTTTTAATATACATATTTAATGGCATATCTCCTAATTCAGTCAGAAACAAGGTGAATTATCTTGACCCCAACTAAGAAGTGATGAATAATTGAGACAGTAGAAGTGAAAAAATTTTGTAAAATATAGAGACAGAGAGGATAAAAATGTTGGCTCATTTTGATAATTATAGAATACTAGAAATCTGCTCATAATAGAGGAACTCAGTACACTTTATTCATATGTAAATTACCTCTATAATCTCCCTGTGGAAGGTAGGTGGGTTGGTGTTGTTTTCTCAGAGAGAATACTGAGTCAAATAGATTTACCCATCTATTCAAGGACAGAAGGTAGACTCTAATCTTTTATATTCAATACACTTCTCAATACATTGTCTGTTTTTCAGATTTTACTAATATATAGGGCCCAGGTGGGGAGCAAAGAATGATACAGACACATCTTTTTATCATGAAGGAGCTTATGATTTCGGTACATGCCTTCTATCCACTCCATTATCGAACAGTTGTTTACCTAATAAACTTAGGTCAGCTGAATTTAGTAATATATCATTATTTTTCTGTGGATTTACAGTCTTCTCAATCTTGTTAACTTAGACCATTATGTGATTTGTTGATACTACACTTACCTATATAAATTGAAAGTGAAGAGTTTTGTAATTTAAAATGAGTGGAGGGCTTCCCTGGTGGCGCAGTGGTTGAGAATCCGCCTGCCGATGCAGGGGACACGGGTTCGTGCCCCGGTCCGGGAAGATCCCACATGCCGCGGAGCGGCTGGGCCTGTGAGCCATGGCCACTGAGCCTGCGCGTCCAGAGCCTGTGCTCCACAACGGGAGAGGCCGCAGCAGTGAGAGGCCCACGTAGCGCAAAAAAAAAATGAGTGGAAATGTAGTGCTTGTTGAATCTTTACATAATGTCTGCACATATAATAAAACAAACTACAATGAAATTTTAAGAGATTTTAAAAATGAGTTGCTAGTAAAATTGTTTATTTTGTTGTTTATTTCAGGTAGTAACAGACGAGGATGGAATACCACCAGCCAGAGATATTCTAGTGTTATCCAGCCATCCAGTTTCTCCAAATCCACACCATGGGGGGGCAGCAAAGATCAAGAAAAGCCATCTTTTGCTCCTTTTGATTCTGGAGCGTCAGCTAGCAGGAACAGGGGGTTTGGATGGTCTCAGAACCCATTTGCTTCACCTAGCTCTGATGGGCAGAGAGATGAAAAGAAACTTCTGTAAGTGAAAGCCTTCAGAAAAATTCCTTCCCATTTGCTTATTTTTTTCAAAAGTACCTACAGTACTTTCCTTAAAAAAGAGGTAATGTTATTATTACTTTATTAAATTATTAAAAAATCAGAATAAGCAAAAAGCAGAAAAAACATCCATGATCAGAGATAACTACTATTTTGCAGGTATCATACTAGACTTTATTTCACTTAAAAATGTCATTCTTCTTTATCGATACAATGAGTTCTTGGGGATAATTATGCTTTTTCCACTTTTCTATTGATAACACCGTACTGTGAAATCTTTCTAATGTAGTCCTGCTTATATTAAATTATGAGTTCTTTACAAAGTATGAGGTGATTTAAAGCAACTTGTGATCTTGGAGGTCACTTATAGCATCTCGTATTCTTCTTTCTAAAACTTCTACTTCAGTAAGCCCATGTAAACATTTCATTTGATTTCCTTCATGATTGTGGAGTAGATTTCTTACCATTTATTGAGAACATTCATAGTAGAATTTATGATTGGTGCCGAAACAGTGCCTGGCTGTGTATAACTGTTCCGTCAGCCCCCAGCAATTAGGACAGAACTTAAATATACTCATTAGTCTTTTACATCCCGTAACTAAATTAGACTAGTTGTAAACATTTTGAACCATGTACCGTATATAATAAATTAAAATAAATAAATAAAGTAAAAAACCAAATTAAAAAAATTAAAAAAGGAAAAAGAAACCCTCCTTCCTATATTTGATGTTGTCATCGTAAAAATCCTAAATTTTATTATTATTTTATTATCAGTTATTCTTATTTGATTAATTCTGCTATTCTGGATAAGGGGGAAATATTTAATTTAGACCCAGATATATCCATGACTTTGCCAACAAGTTAACCACGGACATGGGTCTGTTCCCTTTTTGCAAAATGTGAGAATTAGACAAAATGATCTCTGAAATCCTAACCACTTAAATATTTTTATGGTTCTTTATTACTTACTGGTTCTTTCTTTCCCAGTTAAATGATCATTGATGTTAATAATGAACAAAGAAAGATTAAACTTAGTATTGTGTATTTTATTATATTTCAGTTCTTTAAGATGTGTATGGTATGATAGTTGAGTTCTCAGTAAATGTATCAGTTAATGGTTCAGTGTATTGGAAAACCAAAATTATGAACTTCTTTGATATTATTTATAATCATGAAATGTAGCTCATATTTCTGTAAGCTTCTGCTTTAAAGAACACTCCTCAGAAAATATAACGGAAAAATCTAAAATTATATATTTAGTACAATTTAAAATTTCAATCATTGAAAATTATAAATGGTAAATTTTAACAATCAGTAGAAAAAGATCTTTTGCCCTTTTTTTTCCTCAGGGAAGGAATTGTAAAAGATATGGAGGTTTGGGAATCATCAGGGCAGTGGATGTTTTCTGTTTATTCACCAGTGAAAAAGAAACCTAATATTTCAGGTAACTAGAAATTATGTGTTTTAAAATGTTTTTTACAACTATTATTTTCTAAAACCAAGACTATGTCAAATAAAGAAATCGACCACAAACTTAGCTACAGTTAGGAGAGTTTGGACATTGTTTAAAGTATCTGAGTATTCTAGCAGAACTTCATAATTCAGAGATTGAGGTTGGAAGATATAGTTCAAGATATATAGATCCCTTGGGAAAATTAGTAGAATCAGGAACCACCACCTTTCCAATTCTGTAAGCCCAAGAAGAGGCTCTGCTTCCTTGGTTTCCTGTCGATACAACTTCAGAACCCTTTAGCTGCCTGCAGTGAATAGAAGAGTCCTGTTATGCCAAGGCTTTGGCTGCCTGATTCTGTTCTCTTTCTCCCCTATCTTTTTTTCTAAGGATAGTTATTTTTCATAAAGCATGTTGAGATCTATTCTGGGGGTAATATTTGAAGGTAAGGAGCCTTAGCTGGGCTACAGAGATAGCATTTCTTTAGAATACTCCTTTCCTTCCCATTTTCTTTTGTCCATCGCCCTTTTTGGGCTGAAAGCTAGACCACCACAGTTGTTTTTGTTTTGTTTTTTTGACATCTTTATTGGAGTATAATTGCTTTACAATGGTGTGTTAGTTTCTGCTGTATAACAAAGTGAATCAGCTGTATGCATACATATATCCCCATATCCCCTCCCTCTTGCGTTAGACCACCACAATTTTATAAGCCTACTCTGGGTGGTCCTGGGCCCTATTAAGTTGAACAGCAAGTGCCTAGAAGATGAGAGCCCTTTCAGTCTCTCAGAACTCTGGGATTTCTGTCTGTCTCTGCTCTATGTGCTCATTCTCTGTGAGCATTTGTGTCACACCACTCCTTAGTTGTTTATTTACTTAATCATTCAACAAATACTTATTGAATTTCTTTTGTGCCAGGCCTCATTCTAGGTGCTAGAGATATAGCAATGAGTAAGATAGATAGGATCCATCCCTTATGAAGTTTATGTTCTTGAGGGATGGAGGCAATAAGTAATACAAATAAATAAGATAATTTTAGATAGTGATTTTTCTGTAAAGAAAATAAGTGTTAAGCCTTTTTTAAAAAGTTCAGAATTGAACATAATGCCTAATGCCCTAGAGCAGTGGTTCTCAGTGTGAAATGTAGATCCATAAGCAGGGTTGTGAGATAAAATATGGGACATCCAGTTAAATTTAAATTTCAGATAAACAGTATTTTTAGTATATGAATATCCCATATAGTATTTAGAACATACTTATACTTTTTTTTTGGCTGCGCCGTGCAGCTTGTGGGATCTTAGCTCCCAGACCAGGGATTGAACCCGGGCCCACGGCAGTGAAAGCGCCAAGTCCTAACCACTGGATCACCAGGGAATTCCCGGGACATACTTGTACTTTTAAAGTATTTGTTGTTTGTCAAATATTCAAATTTAACTGGGCATCCTCTTTTTTTTGCCTAAATCTGGCAACCCTATTGCTAAAATCCTTTTAGGGGCTGTACAAGTTTAGAAATATTTTCATAATAATACTAAGACATTAATTGCCATTTTCACTGTGTTGACATTTGCACTGTTCGTACAAAATCTTTGATGAGGCACAGGCAACAAACTGTACTAGCAGATTATAATAGTCAATAAAAAAAATTTTAATGCCATTTTCACTTAAGAATGTCCTTGATGAAGAGGTAAAAATTATTAAGTTTATTAAATATTGACCCTTAACTGTACACCTTTTAAATATTCTATGTGACAAAATGGGAAGCACACACAAAGTAACATTAACAAATTTTTTGATATTGTAAGATGACATGTGCCAACATTTGGAGGTTCTGGATAACTCAGTGAACCAATATTTTCCAGATGACCAATGTGTGACGTTACAAAATTATGCATGTTTGAAAAATCCTTTCTAAGTGCAAGATAAAACAATTAATAGTTTTGGTTTATTAATATGATTTCATTAATATGATTTGAGTCCACATTATAGCTAACCTTTAAGAAACTACTGTCTGTCAAGTTTTGGTATAGTATCAAGAAGGATATCCACAATTATCTGAAAAGGCCATTAAAGTCATCGTTTTCCAGCTACACATCTGTGTGAGAACAGTTTTTCTTCATATACTTGAACCAGGCAATATACTGAAACAGGTTGAAGCAGATTGAACAGCAGAAGCAGATATAATAATCCAACAGTCTTCTATGAAGCCATACATTAAAGAGATTTACAAACATAAGACAATGCCACTTATATCACTAAATTTTTATTTTTTGTTTTGGAAAATAGTTTTTTCATTTATGTTGATATATTTCTTATTTTTAAGTGAATTAATATTTTGTACAATTTTTCAGTTTTCATTTCAGATATGGTAAATATTGATTTATGTAACCCATGTAAGCAAAAGGTCTGCCATCCTTATTTATTTTTAAGAATGTGAATGGGTCCTGAAACCAGAAAGTTGGAGAATCACTGTCTGTAGGCATCCATTATAATGAATTAATTTTTCCTGTGCAGCTAGAATGATACTACATTTGTACCACCCTTGAAAGAATTGAGGAAATAGTCACTCAAATCATTTTCTGTCTTCATGGTTCAGATGAGTAACAGATGGAAGGAGGAGAAAGTAGCCAGAGGGATAGTGTTTCTTCACAGAGAGTGGTTATCTATTCTTAGGAAGCAGTATTGGAGCCGAGTCCTGAATGAAGAGAAGATGTCACTTATGGGAAGATTTGGGGGAAAATGTTGCTTACAGTACAATAGCTAGTGCAGAGGCCCTTGTGGAAACAAGGTTGCCATGTATTTCGTCCAGCAAGGCCTGAATTTGCCGGAGGAGAGTAAATAAGAGAAAGAGTAATATGACATAAGGCCAGAGAGAGGCAGCCAGGGGCCAGATTATGTTGGGCCTAATTGCACTAGGAAGCCAGAAAGAGCTTTGAGCAGGAGGAGGGATATGATCTGATTAGAAAAAGCTCACTTAGGGACTTCCCTGGTGGCACAGTGGTTAAGACTCCGCCTGCCAACGCAGGGGACATGGGTTTGAGCCCTGGTCCGGGAAGATCCCACATGCCGCGGAGCAACTAAGCCCATGTGCCACAACTACTGAGCCAGCGCTCTAGAGCCCGCGAGCCACAACTGCTGAGCCCGCGTGCCACAGCTAATGAAGCCCGTGCGCCTAGAGCCCGTGCTCCGCAACAAGAGAAGCCACCACACTGAGAAGCCTGTGCACAGCAGCAAAGAGTAACCCCTGCTCACTGCAACGTGAGAAAGCCCGCACACAAGCAACAAAGACTCAATGCAGCAAAAAATAGATAATTAAAATTAATTAATTAATTAATTTTTAAAAAGCTCACTTAGACTGTTGGTATGAAAAGAAATGGTCTGTTGGGGGGCAAAATAGCGGCAGGGCAATGAGTTAGGAGACAACTGCTGATGACCGAGAGTTACTAGCAGTGGAGACAGAATAGGTCAAAATTCGTGTTCTGTTTTGGAGCTAGTACTGGCAAGAGGCTTATTAATTAGATATGGGGAAAGAGAGAAATGCAAAGTGATTCTAGGTTTTGTGGCCTGAGCAGTTAATAAAGGTGGTAAAGACAAGTTGTTAGAGAGCTCCAGGATTCTGATTTGAATGTTTAGTCTTTTCTTTATTCTGAGGTAAGGGTCTTTGGAGTTAATGGTGTCTGGTTATAAATAATTCTCTGTAGAAAAATATCCTGAACTTTTTCTCCCTTTCTTAAAAAGTTTTCCTAATTATGAAAGTTACAGCTGTTGCCATAGAAAACTTGGAAAATACAGAAATATGTGAATAAAGATCAACTAATCTCAGAGATAACAACTGTAACATTTTAGTGTATTTCTTTCAAAACATGTGCACACATATTTCTTACTTATATGTATAATTAGGAATCATAACCTAGTGTTGTATTCTGCTTTGTTTTCAGTGTCTCCATTACTAAAAATACTAGAATGAACATCTTTTTATGTAACACCCTTTGTTTATACATTTAACTATTTCCTGAGGTTAAATCCTAGAAATTCTAAGATCAAAAGGTATGAGCATTTTTAAGGCATTTGACATTTATTGACAATTTTCCTCCCAGAAAAGTTTACCTTTTTGATTTCCATAATGGCAACTTAGGAGAATGTCCATTTCACCACATCCTTAATAACAATTATTCATTATTAATTTTTGTCAGTCTGATAAATAAAGCATTGTATCTCTATTTAAGTTGTATTTTTAAATTGAACTTTTTTTTTTTTGCGTGAACTTTTTAATTTCATTTATATACTGGCTATTTGAATTGTTTTGTGAATTGCCCGTTCATTATCTTTGCCCATACTAACTTATTTTTCTTACTGATTTGTAATAGCTATTTATACATTGATGTTAGCTCTTCTCCTGTCATATATGTTGCAATTATGGTTTTCCCAGTTTACTGTTTGCCTTTCAATTTTGATATTGTAGTTTCTGACTTACAGAATATTTTTTTTTAGAAGTATGAATGTATATGTAGTCAATTCTTTCTTGTTTCTTTTGTTTATTATTCCTTCCACTCCATTTATCTTTAGAAAATTTTTCCCCTTCAAAGATCAGATAACAACTATATTTTATTCTAATTTTATACTTTATTAAATAGAGTATAGGCTTTGAATTTCTTCCTTATGATTATGAAATTTTTCTAATGATCAAGATTAGCATATTTTCCTGTCTAGTACCTCTTATTTTACTCTACTATCAAAAGTATTGGTATTTAAAGATTCCAATTGATTCCTCACTTCAGGTTTTACAGATATTTCACCAGAGGAGTTGAGACTTGAATACCATAACTTCTTAACCAGCAATAACTTACAGAGTTATGTAAGTTTGTTTCCTATTCATCTACCTAACCGATTAGCTGTTAATTATTGTCTTCTCTGTAGTGGCTTGCTTGTGTGTTGGCAAAGTGGATGAGGTCTATAATTTTTTTTCAGAACAAGGCTATTTTTATATTCTAAATTAAAATTTAGAATTTCTTTGAAATTGGTTGATTATCTAAAATGGTGATAATATACTTTGACTGTAGTAACTAGGAATGTCATTATTTTTATTACGGGTTATCCAGCAATCAGTCCCAGAAATCATACCTTTCATTATTTGGCAAACATCTATGGAGTATGTCTTAGGTGCAGACACCACAATGAATGCTAGAAAAACAAACTTAAATAAAATGCAGTGTTGTATATAGATTAACATTCTCATATATCAAATATCAAAAAATTGAAAAGCTGGGCTTGAATAAGTTCAGTGCCTAAAGGAAATGACATAAATCATGTATTTTTCTATTGTCTACAGTCAATATCATGTGTTTCAACTAGTGCACATGTTTGTCTCTGTACTGCCAGGTACTTGTGATTTTAACTAGGTGATACAAGGAGTTGGAGAACAGGGAAGGGGGTCTACAGCTGGAGTATCTTTAGCAAGTAGGGGTAGGTCAATGCAAATTTTACAAGTTATGTGTTGTAAAAATGTTTTATAAATTTGTTGTGACTTTGGAAATACAAACATGAAGTTGTTGGAGAGATTATCTTAAACACTCAATATTGACTCATCATTTTTCTGTCTTCTCTCCAGCTACATTCCATCCAACAGTTAATAAATCAGTGGAGGAACAGGGTAAATGAACTGAAAAGTCTAAATACATCAACTACAATAGCTTTGGTGAGTATTGGAGAATTTTCTACAGGGAAACGTCTTATCTATTGCTTTTTTGCAGAATTTCACTTTGGATTTGGAAAGCAAAGCTAAAATTCTCTGTCAAGAATTGTGATACACACATTCTCAAGAACTATATTATCATTTAGAGTCACGGTCCTGGAATTGTTTTGTCTCTGTTCCTTAGTCAGAAAAGCACAGATAATTATGCTTTTCTAAAACTATTTTTAGGATAAGGTGTTTAACTTTGGTGGTACTAGTTTTAAACATTGGAAAATATTACATAAATTCAAGTATGCCAGGTTATCAGTATTTAAAAAGAAATTGCTTTGAAAAATATGAATGCATATTTAGACTAATGTATACTTTTGTGACTGAAGGACCATATGTTCCTTGTCTTATACAGAAATGCCTTTAGGAGATACATGCCCACTTGTCCCCAAAGATACATGATCCTACTGCAGCATATTCATTATCTCTGTCAATAGTTTATTTTGCTACCCCCATAAGAAGTGCTTAAGAATATTATTTTTAAATAAGATATTTACATTTAGAATTTGATATTTCCAGTCTACGAGGTGGTTTTTCTTTGTACTTTCTGAAAAAGGCTATGAGAGTAGTAGCTGTCTAAAGTTAGTGAATGACTGTTTGAAAGTCCCGACTCCTTTCTTTTTTTTTTTAAATTTATTTATTTATTTTTGGTTGTGTTGGGTCTTCTTTGCTGCGTGTGGGCTTTCTCTAGTTGTGGCGAGAGAGGGCTACTCTTCGTTGCAGTGCACGGACGTCTCATTGCGGTGGCTTCTCTTGTTGTGGAGCACGGGCTCTAGGCACATGGGCTTTAGTAGTTGTGGCGCGCGGGCTCAGTAGTTGTGGCTCGCGGGCTCTAGAGCGCTGGCTCAGTAGTTGTGGCACTTGGGCTTAGTTGCTCTGCGGCATGTGGGATCTTCCCGGACCAGCGGTCGAACCCATGTCCCCTGCATTGGCAGGCGGATTCTCAGCCACTGCACCACCAGAGAAGTCCCCCTACTCTTTTTTTAAATATGTGCTTCTAAATGACTAGACTCTTTTTTGGGGGGGCATTGCATTTTATTTTTGTTTAATTAATTTTTATTGGAGTATAGTTGCTTTACAATGTTATGTTAGTTTCTACTGTACAGCAAAATGAATCAGCTGTACATATACATCTATCCCCTCTTTTTTGGATTTCCTTACCATTTAGGTCACCACAGTGCATTAAGTAGAGTTTTCTGTGCTATACAGTATGTTCTCATTAGTTGTCTATTTTATGCATGGTGTCAATAGTGTATATGTGTCAACCCCAATGTCCCAATTCCTCACACCCCCCGCAAATGACTAGACTCTTGTGCAAGCTAATTTCTTCTACCTTTCAGTTGTTGTAATGCCATTTGAATTCAGTAGGACTCCTCGGAAGTATTTTTTCTCTAGATGAGAGATGGCCCGCCATCACCATTGCTGATGTAGAAGGGATAACTGAGTCCAGAGAACTACAGAGCTTCCTTTAAGGTTGGAAGTTCCATGTCCTTTGCCACCTTCCTAGGGGCCCTTCTGTAGGTGAGAATCTTGGACAGCCTACCTACAACTGGCTTACCACGTGTCAATTCTTCATGCCAAGTGATTGGTTTTTTTAAAATATTTATTTATTTATTTTATTTTTGGCTGTGTCGGGTCTTAGTTGCGGTTAGCGGGATCTTCATCGTGGCATGCGGTATCCTCCACTGCGGCACCCAGGCTCATCATTGCGCAGGCTTCTCATTGCAAGGCGCAGGCTTCTCTCTAGTTGTTGCCCGCGTGCTCAGTAGTTGTGGCGTGCAGGGTTAGCTGCCTCGCGGCATGTGGGATCTTAGTTCCCCAACCAGGGATCAAACCCACGTCCCCTGCATTGGAAGGCGATTCTTAACCACTGGACCACCAGGGAAGTCCCTGCCAAGTGGTTTATTCTTTATTCCTTTAATCTATTATATGGATATAATTTGTTTATCCACATACCTGTTAATGACTGAGGGAGAGAAGCTAGACGAAAAAAAAAAAGTACATACTATATGATTCCATTTATATGACACTCTAGAAAAGACAAACCTCATCTCTAGTAATAGAAAGTCGGTGAATGGTTCCCTGGGGCCAGAGCTTGGGAGAGTGTTGACTGGAAAGGGACACAAGGGAACTTTTATGGGTGATGGAAATATTCTAAATCTTGATTGTAGTTGTGGTTATAAGTTTGTCAAAACTCATCAAAATATAGATAGATTGTTTTAATGGACGCATTTTATTTTATGTAAACTGTACCTCAGTAAAGTTGATTTTGTTTTTAAAGAAAAAATGCCAATAGGGTTTTAAAATGAGAGAAATCTTACGTGCTTAGGTTGATGAGGGAAGACTTCTTAGAGGTAAGGATTAAGTGAACAGTTCCTTGAAAAGGAGATTAGGATTTCAGTAAGCAGAGACGAAAGACATTTCTAGAGCAGAAAATAGCAAGAGCATAAAATATTTTCAGGGAAAAGGAAATGTTTAATAGATTTTAGTGGTAAGCTTTTAATAATGTAATTGCGAATTAACTTCAGTTCAAGCATTTGAGTAAGTAGACTGAGTAGCTTCTAAAGGTCCTTTACCTAATATCTAGGTTTTTTGATAAATGCAGATCAACCAGTAGAAACTAAAATCTAGAATTAAAAAGTATTTTCCTGATTTTAATATGTGTTCATTGAAGAAATTTAGAAAGTGTTTTAAAAGCATAAGTAAAATTAAAATCATTCATAATTCATCAGCCGCACAATCACTTCGAACTCACTGAGGTTGGCCCATTTTTTTCTATAAACATTCACTTGTAGGCATTTTTCTATATTAAACAAAATGAAGACGTTTTTAAGTGCACATTTTAAAAATTGAATTTGGCTATAAAGTGTATAGAAAAGGTACTTGAGAATTACTCACTTGCCTACCTTTTTTTTAATAGCTCTCTGATATAAAGGGTGGAGTAAATCAAGCAGCACCTGCATTTGGATTTGGCAGTAGGCCATCAGTAACGTTTGGGTCACCAGGTAAGTGACAAAGTAATGAAGGACTTCACTGATTCAAAAAAATTGGATTTTATAGGTTTCAAATATAAAGCCTGAAGTTTTGTTTAGGGCCATTTTAAGTCACTCTTGCAAACTCTACCACCTTCCATAATAGAGCTTCAAAGAATTTGGGTCATCAAGCATTTGCGAAATGGGATTCAGAATGGGCATGGTCTTTGAAAGACCCTATGGCTCAGGCTTTAGAAGTATATTTTAGGAATGGTTTTTCAAGACTTCCATAGGAATACATAGTTAGGGTAGCAGCACCTTTGAGGACTTTGTTGTCCCTGTATATAACAGCATAGTATTGTCCTCAAATGACAGTTCCGATGAGATGAGGGGACAGGTGAAGTGAAGGTTTACTCCCTAATCCCTGAGGTTTCTCAAGAGCTGCCTCCTTGAGTGTAAATTATGGTGCAAATGAGATCAATGTAGCAGAAAGACAGGACAACAGGGTTTAGTGGGTTTGTCCTAGTTTCTCATTTTCACTTTTCTCTTCTTCCTTCCAATAAGTTAATTATCATCTAAATATGGCAGAAATAAGAAAAAAAAGGGCGGGTGGGGAGTAGTAATATAGCTACATTTTCTGATTAATAGCTTCTTTTTTTCTTTTTCTGGTTTTTGTAGGTTTTCCAGTGAATAACAACAGCAGCATTAGTGCTCAGAATTTTAGTTTTAAACCAAGCTCTGGATTTGCTACTGCCCCTTCTGGAAGCCCTTCTGTGTTTGGGAGTACTCCAGCATTTGGAGCTGTACCCTCCGCCAGTTCTGCCATCACTGCTTCTACTCCAGCTTTTGGACTTGGGAAACCCCAGATCACATCTGCTGCTTCATTTTCATTTAAAAGCCCTGCAGCTTCTGGTTTTGGATCATCCGGATTTTCAGGATTTCCAGCTTCTACAGCAGGACCTGTTGGAGCTCCAGAGGCCCCAGCCTTTGGAAGCGGCAGTTCTTCAGCTGGTTTTGGTAGTCCAGGCTCACAGTCTCACACTGCTTTTTCCAAGTCATCCAGTGACACCTTTGGAAACAGCAGCATATCCACCTCTCTCTCATTCTCAAATGGCAGCACCACAACAGATAATGTATTATTCACACCCAGGGATCAACTAACAGCAGAAGAACAGGAACAATTTCAATCCAAGAAATTTACTCTGGGAAAAATTCCATTAAAGCCACCTCCTGTGGAACTTCTAAATATTTAAACGAGTAATTTTAAATACAGAAAAGAACAGCTTTTAAAATTGTTTTGAGTGGTTCATATGAAAGGGCAGATATATATATATACATACATATATATTATATATATACATATATATTTATAAGAAGTATAAACTTTCAATAATAGGAATTTTTATATTTAGCATTTTCTTGAGTGTAACTATTTAAGTAAAACAACAAAAACTCAGCAACGGATTTTTTTTTTTTTTTTTTGCTATAATTATGAATGGAACTGAAAAAACTGTCAGGGTGCAGTGAATAAAGTACTTTTCTTATTCTACATCACTTTACTCTCTTACCATTTAAAATTTTACATTTAAACATTTTTTTTAAAAGGAAGGAGATAATTTCTAGAACCAGCAGAGAAAAAATGCTTAAATGTTTAGCCTACTTACCAAATAAACATCAGTAGCGTGACTTTAAACTTCATGTTAAAGAAGATTCTCTTAAAGAGAGAAATAACAATTTTTAAAGGGTGAAAACTTTTTAAGACCTAAGAAGCATTTTCCCCTCATATTTTTTCCTCCTCAGTTTTGGCTCTCTCATGGACCATTTGAGTTTTCTTCAACAATTCTGGGCTAATTTTTATCTTGGCCTAATTTTTATGTAATTCTATTTTTTCCTCACATTATCCCATCAAGTGGATGGATTGTAAGAGGAGTAGAAATTATGATCTCCTGTGAATAAATAGTATATAAATATCCTTTGTAGTTGCATAAAACATTTCTGGAAGAATATTTAAGAAACTTGCTAACAATGATTACCTCTGGGAAAACAATTGGTGTCTGAGTTAGGAGAAATACTTTATATACCATTTTGAACTGTTTGAATATTTTACCATATACATGCATTACTTTGTTTTTTTAATTGAAAGAAAATCAGGAAAATTTAAAAAGGACTAGGAAGCTTTTTTCAACTATAAACAGCAACATTATTGGCAAGTTTAATGATACTTATGATCAAGCTAGTTTTTCTAGCTGCATTTTTGAAAAGCATTTTTTTTTAATATAAATTTATTTACTTATTTATTTATTTGTTTTTGGCTGTGTTGGGTCTTCGTTGCGGTACACGGGCTTCTCATTGCCGTGGCTTCTCTTGTTGCAGAGCACGGGATCTAGGCGTGCAGGCTTCAGTAGTTGTGGCATGGGGGCTCAGTAGTTGTGGCTTGTGGGCTCTAGAGCTCAGGCTCAGTAGTTGTGGCACACGGGCTGAGTTGCTCCGCGGCATGCAGGATCCTCCTAGACCAGGGCTCGAACCTGTGTCCCTTGCATTGGCAGGCAGATTCTTAACCACTGTGCCACCAGGGAAGCCCGAAAAGCATTTTTTTTAAACTAACGAATAACTCTTTATTCAAGATGCATCTTCTCTAGAATTTTTTTTTAAGTAACAGAGAAGGGACTTATAACTGGAAAAAAGTTTTTGAACAAATCTAGGCTGCTTTCTTCCGCCTCCATTTACATTATTATGGTATGCTCTTATTCCTTTGTGGTATATTTCTTAAAACGCTTTTTTATAAAATATGTTTATTATAATAAATTTGGAAATTTCCAACAAGGAAATTAAAATTTTCAATAATCTTCTCCCTGCTTCCCCCAAATAGCTTATGTAGAGCGGTGAGGATTCACCAGCTGTTTCTAGAGTTTCTATTAGAATTCTCAGACATGTTTGGATCTCCCTGTGTCCTCAGATTGAGGGAGTAATATCTTGTATATCTTACATATGGTTGATCCAAATACCCAGAGACCTGTCATGAGTTGAAGCATATGTGTCAGAGTTCTGTGTTCCTTTCTCAAGCCTCAAAAATTACACAGCTAGCACTGCGAGAACAGTTTCCTGACACAGATCTGGCATTGAAGTCATTTTTTTAAGTGAAAGTAAAAACTATTAAAAGATATGCACTCCACGTGATTTTAGCATATATGCAAAGGGTTTAATCCTCATGGGATCCAGTTTCTCTGTTACGCTTTTTGAAGAACTGTATGACTCAAACTAACAGTTGTGGAACCCCAGCATTTAGAATAAAACCTACTCAAGGGGGTGTATGTTTGAAACCATCCTTGGTATAGAGGTGATAAATAGACCCTAAGTTCCTGCTTTGGTCTTAAGCTCTAAAGACTTTCCAATGTTTTTTTCAACACAGTTGACTCCTAGAGTTGTCCTACCCTGATGGAATGAACGCTGTGCTACCATTAGGTTGGTTACAGGCTTACCAGGCTCCCTTGGGTCCCAATTGAACTTCCCAATGTCCTGGAAGCTCTGAGGATGCAGATTAAGGGCCCAGTGTTTCTAAATCTGCCTGACTGTAAGGATCACCTGGGGTACTGATTAAATAATATATCCATTGGGCTAGGCTTGGGAATGTGTTTTTTTTTTACCAAGTGACCCATGAGATCCTTCAGGCAAGTTTGGGAAACTAGCCTATCCAACTACATTTAGGCTACTTAGTAATATGCAATTTGGGAGTTGTAATTGTTGGAAGTCTATTTTCTGTGCTCTCACACACACACACACACACACACACACACACACAAATGAGATCCAAAGTTGTCAGATAGTGCACTTGTCAAAAAGTACAAATAGGTGCTATGAGTTCCTTAAAAGTGTGAGAAACTGAAGCAAAGAAGTCCACAAAGTAGAAGTCAGCAGTATGCATGCATACTGGTATCAGGAGTCCAAGGAGGCCAGGAACTCCTAGACAGGCCCTAAGGGGCAGCAGGGCTTCAGAAAATCAGAAACAGGTAACACTGAGGTGGTGGCCAGGCATAAAGGTAGATTGAGTTTCAAGACCCTAAGAGAGAGTGGAAGGGAAAAGGCAACCGCAAGGCACGAGAGCAAGTGCCACCATCTGGATTTTTTTTTTTTTTTTCAGCGTCTGGATTTATTCAGTGAGGCAAGAACCGATTCTAGCAGAGCTGGTCGAACTGAAAGTAGACCCAAAATAAGCACAAACAGCCTCCCTTCACAGCTTCTACAACAGCTGTCCCTTTTACCTAGGACTCAGAGCAAGGGACAGAATCGTATATAAGGTTTTATTACAAGTAAACTGATTTAACTAGGTTGATTATCTGATCACAGATTAGAAGGGGAGAAGTGTAACAGCTGAGAGCTGACTAGAAGGAGAGAGAGAAGCTGATATTAAAACTATTTAAAAGGCATAACATGATTTAGCTACATAGTATTGTTCATACGAGTAAATTCAATCCAGTGTCCAACAACAGGAAATTGGTTAATGTGGTAGGTTCACATATTGGAATACTAAACAGCCTTTCTAAATGACCTAGAAGAATAGGGAATAAACTTGGAAAGTTTTCACTCTGTAGTCAATGGGCAAAACCTGTTATAAAACAGCATGTACAATGTGGTCCAGTTTGGGGGGAAAGTGTGTATTCATGGGAGGAAAAAGCCTAAAATTAATAATAGCTCAGATTTGTTTGGTTTTTTAATTGTGGTTAAAAAAAAACATTAAATTTACCATCTTAAACATTTTTAAGTTCAGCGGCATTAAGCTACGTTCACATTGTTGTACAACAGATCTCTGGAACTATTTCATCTTGCCAACCTGAAACTGTTTACCCACTAAACATTCATTCTCCCTCCCTCCTTTCTCCAGTACTTGGCAATCACGTTTCTACTTTCTGTTTCTATGATTTGACTACTTTAGATACCTCATATGAGTAGAATCATACAGTAATTGTCCTTTTATGCTGGCTTATTTCACTTAGCATAACGTCCTTGAGGCTCATCCTTGTAGAATGTGATCGAATTTTCTTCTTTTTTTAAGTTTGCATAATATTCCATTGTATGTATTGTATGAACCACATTTCGATTATCCATTCAGCTGTTAATGGAATTTGGGTTGCTTCTACCTCTTGGCTACTGTAAATAATGTTTTCATGAACATCTCTTAAAGATCCTGCTTTGAATTCGTTTGGATATATACCCAGAAATGGGTTTGCTGGATCATATGGCAGCTCTGTGTTTAGTTTTTTGAGAAATCTTTACACTACCCTTCATAGGAGTTACACCATTTTACATTCCCAGCAGCAGCGTTTCAGTTTCTCCACATCCACCCCAACACTTAGTTTCTCGTTTTGACAGTGGCCTTCCTAATAGGTGTGAAGTGATATCTCGTGATTTTGATTTGCATTTCTCTTATGATTAGTGCTGTTGAGTATCTTTTCATATGCTTGTTGGCCATTTGTATATCTTCTTTGGAGCACTATCTATCTATTGAACTCCTTTGCCCATTTTTAATAGGGTTATTTGTTTTCTTTTTGAGTTTTAGAAATTCCCTATGTATTCTGAATGTTAACCCTTTATCATATATATGATTTGCAAATATTTTCACCCATTCCACAGATTGCCTTTTCACTCTGTGGATTGTTTCCTTTGACACACTTAAGTTTTGAAGTTTGATATAGTCCCATTTGTCTATTTTTGCTTCTATTGTCTGTGTTTTTGGTATCACATTCAAGAAATCGTTGCCAAATCCAATGTCCTGAAGCTTTTCTCCTATGTTTTCCTCTAGTGGTTTTATACATTTAGGTCTTTAACCTATTTTAATTTTGGTCCATGGTATAAGGTAAGTGCCCAGCTTCATTCTTTTGCATGTAAATATACAAGTTTCCTAGTACCATTTGTTGAAAAGACTATTTTTCCCTATTTTGTAGTTTTGACATCTTTGCCAAAAATTATTTGGCTATATAGGCAAGGGTTTATTTCTAGGCTCTAGTCTCTGTTTCATGGGTCTGTATATCTGCCTTTATGCCAGTACCAGACTGTCTCAGTTGGTGTTGCACTGTAGCTGGTTTTGGAATAAGGAAATGTGAGGCCTCCAACTTTGATCTTTTTCAAGATTATTTTGGCTATTCAGGGTACCTTGAAATTTCGTATGAGTTTTAGGATTTTCTTTCTACTTCTGCAAAAAAATGACATAGAGTTTTTTATATGAATTGCATTGAATCTTAACATCGCTTTATGTAATATGCACATTTTACCAATATTAAGTCTCCCAAACCATAAGCACAGGATGTCTCCATTTATTTGTGTCTTCTTTGATTTCTTTTAGCAATGTTTTATAGTTTTCAGTGTACAAGTCTTTCACCTCCTAGGTTAAGCTGATTCCTATGTATTTTATCCATTTTGATGCCATAGTAAATGTGATTGTTTTCTTAATTTTCTTTTCACATTAGCCATTATTAGTGTATAGAAATACACCTGATTTTTGTATGTTGATTTTGTGTCCTGCTACTTTGCTGAAATTACTTATTAATTGTAACAGGGTTCTTTTGTGTGTGTGCATGAAGTCTTTAGGGTTTTCTACATATACAATCATGGAATCTGTGAACAGAGATCATTTTACTTCTTCCTTTCAGAATTGGGTGCCTTTATTTCTTTTTCTTTTCTAATTGCTCTGGCTAGGACACTCGGTACTAAGTTGAATACAAGTGGTGAGAGGGGGCATCTTTACCTTGTTTCTTTTTTTTTTTTAATGGACACTTTTAATCCTAATTGCTTTTCTTAAAATTCATTTACTTAATTTTAATTTTTGGCTGCGTTGTGTCTTCATTGCTACGCATGGGCTTTCTCTAGTTGCGGTGAGCGGGGGCTACTCTTCGTTGCAGTGTGCAGGCTTCTCATTGTGGTGGCTTCTCTTGTTGCGGAGCACAGGCTCTAGGCATGCAGGCTTCAGTAGTTGCAGCACATCAGCTCAGTAGTTGTGGCTCGCAGGCTGTAGAGCACAGGCTCAGTAATTGTGGCGCACGGGCTTAGTTGCTCCACTTTGCCTTGTTTCTGACCTTAAAGGAAAAACTCAGTCTTTTGTGGTTGAATATGATGTTAGTTGTGGCCTTTTCATATATGGCTTTTATCATGTTGAGGTAGTTTCCT